GAGAAACTATCTGTTATGTAAGCCTTCACCTGAAGTACAATAAAATATTAAAAAAAAAAAAAAAAAAACAAGAAGCGGAAAATACTGTTGGTCTGATTCTTATTCCATAGGAGTATCTGGGTTTTGCCATATACACGAATCAATGAGAGGCTTTAGCCAGGCCAAAAAATTACAAGCAATAAAGACGTCACTTTTGCCTATTTCAGCTGGAAAACGCCACAGAATTCCAAAGACCAACTGAAGACAAATGAAATAATAAATATGTCTTTTTATTATATTATTATCGTATTTTCTGAACTGTTTAGAAGGATATCCTAATTCATGGCATTTTCTAAGAAACCACACATATATAACTGAAAAATAAGCTCTTAGAAAGGTCAGTGTTTTTTTGTAGAGCTCTCCATCACATGCACTCCTTGCTGCTCCTGCTGGTTTTAACTGGAAAGCAAGAAAGACTCAAAAAGTACGCCATGACCAGGGGCCGGAGTCTCATTATGACCAGACCAAGTCAAACGGATTTTGCAAGTCTGCCTTAGCAGTACAGTTCAGTGGGAGCTGGCAACTGGATTGAAAAAACCAAAAGCAAAGCAAACCAAACTGAAATAAAACAAAAATTACCTCCTAAATTCCCAGGGCAAGAAATGGTTTCTTGAGTTCATTTTTAGGCACCCCATATTGGCATACTGGAATCAGCCTTATGATCTTATGTATAAAGATTGCATTATTGCTGCAAAGCAGGAGATAATGTGCTTTGGGCTATTTCTGTCATAATGGCGACATCCTAGTGCTGACAGAATGACGTTCCATTAGCTGTCTGGTGCTAAGAGTTTGCTCCAGAAGAGAACACAGCTAACTAGTCCACGTAGGGACTGAACCCATGACCCTGGCCCGATCAGCACGCTGCTAATCACCTACCAAAATAGCTACCTTAATTAAGAGCTGCTTCCATTTATAGATCACCTGATGGATGCCAGGCACTGTGCTAAATGCTTCATGCACATTCTCTCTTCAACTTCACAAGACCCTTTCATAGTAGATACTACCTCTATTTCACAAAGATGGAAACCGAGGATCAGAATGGTTAAGAATCTTGTCCGACGTCTTACAGAAAGGAAATGGAAGATCCAGAACTCAAATTCAAATCTGTCTGACTCAAAAGCCTTGCCTCCTGGTACATAACAAACTGTACTGCCAATCAAGTCCAAATAAATCAAAAGGCATTGTACGATACAGTAATGAAAGAGAAAGACGCGTTAATCCAGATCCGAAAACAGTATTTTAAAACTCAGGACATCTTCACTCACAATTCAAAGCTGTTTCGATAACACAAACTAAAGATGGGTGCGTCTACTATTACCCACAAGCATTTTCACTCACAAAGGAATTCCGACTCATCCATGATGGCTTAGCAGGAAGCTGGCAAATTTTAACAAAAGCAGAAAAGTGTATTCCTGATAAGTGAGGAAAACAAAAACAAGTATCAATGTCTCAAAAGAAATTTAAATACTAGTTAATAATTTTCAATCCAATTCTTCCTATTCAACTAAAAAGGAGAAAATAATGCCGTTATTATTTCTTAGAATAAAACCATGATTGTTGTCAGCTACCATCAAGTCAGTCCCCGACTCACGGTGACCCCGTGTACAACACAAGGAAACGCTGCCTGGTCCTGTGTCATCCCCATGATCGCCATCCCCATGACTGGTTGCAGATCAGACCGTTGTGATCCACAAGGTCTTCACTGGCTCATCTTCAGAAGTAGAGCACCAGGCCTTTCTTCCTAGTCTCTCAGTCACAAAGCTCCACTGAAACCTGCTCAGCATCATAGCAACATGCAAGCCTCCAATGACAGAAGGTGGTGGCTGCGTGTGAGATGCCTTCACCAGGGATTGAGTCCAGGCCTCCTGCAGGGCAGGTGAGAAGTCTACCTCTGAACCGTCAATGCCCTCCTGAACCGCCAACACCACTGAACTCTAAAACGACTTTTGCTTTACAGAATTGTTCACTAATAAAATCAGCTGTCTGTTTACATTAGTGTGAGCACGCCAATAACATGTAAATATTGTATTCTTTAATGTTATGTTACATTAAAGATTTAATCAGAGGTGACTTTTAAATGACCAGAAGCTGTGCTGAAGAGAACTATGCCAGAAAGTGATGGGTTAAACAGCAGTCAAAGCAACGCCCCAGGCCACATAAACAAGTGAAATTAACAAAGATTTATTGAAAACTACCTACTAGGAAGTAAATTCTCCTCTCTTTTTGTCAGACGCTGGGAATGCAAAGATGACTAAAAACAGCGCAAAGGCCTCAAATCCAGTAGGGCAAAAAGACCTGTAAGAAATGATAATTCAAGGCAGAGTACCCAAACTATCCATGTCAAAGTGCCTAGGAGGGGAGAATGAGTGCTGGTCTGACGGGAGGACCAGAAAGCTGCTGTCAACCAGGCTGATGCCGACAAGGATTTCTGTGGGTGAAGAAGGGTCGGGGGGTGAAAGGTGGGCAGACATCCCAGGTTATGCGAACAGCATGAGCAAGGCCGGATGTGTGAACGCTCACAAGAGCGAGCACCTGAAATGACTGCACGCAGTACATAATGTCCTGGAGCACTACAGGTGGAGGCTGAGGTCAGAACTTACAGTCAAATCATAGACAATCCTGACCACCATCTTGGTAAGGGGTGGGAAACCAAGGCTACTCCAAGTAGCCTCTGAGCGTGAACTCTCAGCTGGATTGCCTGGGCTGCTATCCTGGCCCTCCTCCTTATTTAGCTGTGGACTTTGAACCAGTTGCTAAGGTCTCCGTGTTTCAGTTTCCTTGTCTTTAAATGGAAGCCAACAGTGCCAATTTTCTAAGGGGTGTCGGAAAGATTAAATGAGATCATACACATCAAGGGCCTAAAACAGCAGCTAGCACAGACCCTCAATAAACAATAAATACACATAATAGCTACTTCATTCCAGCACTGCAGGGCTAACGAGACAATAAAAGGGATTCCAACAGAAGGAAGCCCCAGAACTATGCATTGTGGATCTGCTAAAATTAACAAAGAGTAACCACAGGATTACCAGAGATCTATAAAAATAAAACGGTAAGTGTGGAGAAACCCTGTGATCTTCTTGTAGTTCTGAGTCCAGAAAGTTCATTTGTAATTGCACCAGCTCATTAATGCCTCAGATTATCCTTTCTCAAGGTGGTTCCAAAATGAATCCACATGGGATGAATTATTTCTTTGCCTCCTACAATGTCTAATATATTATACTTGGACCATCTACGTAACTCTACATACCTGAGTGAAAGAAGTGTGGATGAAAAACATACAAATTTAAGTGAAACCCTGGGCATTTCTGTTAGAACTGTATGTTAGCACAATATCACAAAAGCAAAAACCTGTGATGTGCGAGACTTTGCAAGAGGAGACATGCATGCTTCTTGAAACTGATCTTCATTAATTCCAATCTCTTTCAGGTAACTTTCTAACAGCTTTTCAACCTACAAAAAGAACATTTAACTTTTATAATTAACATAGAAAAACGGTAACTGACAGTTCTCACATTACGTATCTAGCTTAGAAAAGTATAATCAGATGCTTGTTTGCAATTATTAATCTACATATTATATTACACGGTACTGACATTGTTTTTCACAAAAAAACAAACGACAAAAAGTTAAAATACTTTACAGAGAATCACGTAAAATAATTTTATTTCCTCTACTAGAAATAATGTGAGGATCATGAAGTTCAATGTGGCATAACTCTTCAGCTGCCCAGAGGCATTTTTAAAAATCACAAGACAATCAGGGCTAAATGAATAATTAACACTTCCCTGGATGCATCAGCAAAAGAATAAGAATAAAATTTAAAGATTAGATGCAAGATCCCTTAAAATCGTCAAAAAAACACTCCTTGTTGAACTGGTGTTATGTTTTATTGTGTATATTCTCAACAACAAAACAAATAAAATAATAATAATAATAAAACTATTCCTCGGATTCTAGAGTAGAAGAGATAAAAGTAACATTGAGATGCTCAGAGAACTCTCAGAACATCATGTTAACTGGTAGTGTTATTAGGGTAGATTTGATTTTTGTAAAAGTAAAGAATTTTAATGGAAAAGTCCTTTTTTATTTAAAAAAAGCTAGAAGTAATAGTAATCAGTGAAAAAAATACTCACCAGTTCTTTGTATTCCTGATGAATCTCTGTATAGGTCAATTTGCTTTCTTCTTCATCATCAAAAACTAAATTAAAAATAGTACACAGTGTAAACATAAAAAAGCCATTTCACCAATGTAAATATAAAAGTCTATTCCTTACAAACAGAGCTATTATTCTTATAGCTTAGTTCTTTGGCTTCTAATTCTTGGGTTTTTTTCTTAATACCCTTAGATAAAAAGGACATCTGAAAATATAGATAAGGTATATTTATGCTACATCTACCACTTCCTAAGTCCAAAAGTTCTTGGAGAATAAGTTATGAGAACTGATACATGGTCAGTTTTTCAGATTTGTTAGAAAGGCAGAATTCTTAAGCTTATGATGGGTGCGTGTATTACTAGTCAATCTTGGGTAATGTTCTTTCTCAATATCAGATCATGGGTCTCAACTTTCACCACAGAAAGTATAGTTCGGTAATGATAAACTGAATACACTGATACTAAAGGTCATGAAAAACCTGAAATATCCAGGTTATAATACTCAGCTTTATCAGAGAAATACTTCCCTCACACACCAGTCCCCTATATGCCCCAGGATGCTTCTAGATTCCTACACTATAAATACCACCACTAATATTATTCCAAATATCTTATAATGCAATGTGATTGTAATAATCTCTTCTTCAAAAAGGACAAGCAACCTAGGCATTTGGGATCAAAAAAAGAAAAGATTCTTCAAGAATAAAGAATTCTTGTGCGTATGAGCACCAGAACCAAAACCTAAGCTCATCCAGAAAGTCTTTCTTTACCAGTTCTTAAAAGTCTGAAGGAATGAACAAATCTGAACATATCTCCTTGATAACAGATAAAGCAAGTGACCTGATGTAGAAAATAACTTCTCACTTCACTGCTCCCCGAAGACGATGGGTAATAAAAAGTTAAAAATAAAAAATCTCTTAAACTTTTTATGAGAAACCAATTCTCAGAACATGGGAAGAAAATCACCATGACAGCTTTTTTTAAAAAAACAAAAACATTTTATTGTGCTTTCAGTGAAAGTTTACACAGAAAATTAGTTTTCCATTCAATAACTTATACACAAACTGTTGCATGACATCGACTGCAATCCTGCAATGTGTCAGCACTTCCTCATTTACGCTCTGGGTTCCCCGTTTCCATCCGTCCAGTTTCCCTGCCCCCCTCTGCCTTCTCATCTTTGCTTTTGGGCAAATGGTGCTCTCTTGGTCTTGTATAGTTGATCGTCTTTGCAGCATATTCCTCACGGGTGTTACTGTTCATTTTTCAGGCTAGTCTATCATTTGGCTGAAAGGTGACCTCTAGGAGGGGCTTCAATTCCAAGTTTGAAGGGTGTCTTAGGGCAATAGTCTCAGGGGTTCCTCCAGTCTCTACTAGGTCAGCAAGTCTGGTCTTTTTTATGAATTTGAGTTTTGTTCTACATTTTTCACCCATTCTAACCAGGACCTTCTATTGTGTTCGTGGTCAGAGCGGTGGGTAGTGGTAGCCAGGCACCATCTAGTTCTTCTGCTCTCAGTCTAGAGGAGGCTGTGGTTCATGCGGGCTGTTAGTCCTCTGGACTAATTTCTTCCTTGAGTCTTTGGTTTTCTTCATTCCTCTGCTCCAGACAGGAAGAGATTAATAGCTGTATCTTAGATGGCTGCTTGCAAGCTTTTAAGACCCCAGATGCTACTCGCCAACCTAGGATGCAGAACATTATCTTTATGAACTGTTATGCCAATTGACCCAGCTGTCCCAGCTGTCCCCTAAGACTGTGGTTCTTGGCCTTCAAGTCCAGTAGTTCAGTCTCAAGGGGTGTCTGGTTATGCCTAAGAATTTTCCTAACTGTGTCCCCATGTGCTGTATTATGTGTATGAATATACATGCAGCACAAATATGTAGAAACGTCCATAACTATACCTATGCACGCATGCAGGTGTACTCCTTATACAACCTCTCACACCTATTTAGCATACATATCTACCTATGCATCCACTCACAAATTACTGTTATTACTGTTGTTGCAGGATATGTTACAGTATTTACTGTATTTGCCATTCACTCTTGTGTATCTATCAGTGTCTTCCTTTGCCTTGGTCATGCTGCTCTCCTTCCCTGTATTGTGTCCTGCCTTTCCCTTCACCAGAGTTAACACGTGTCTACTATCTATTTAATGATCCTCCCTCCCTCCACCTCCCTCCCCTGGTAACGATCAAAGAATGATTCTTCCTGTGTGTAAACCTATCCTTGACTTTTTATAATAGTGGTCTCATACAGTATTTGTCCTTTTGTGATTGACTTATTTTACTCAGCACAATCTCCTCCAGATGAATCCATGTTGTAAAATGCTTTGTGGATTCATCGTTATTGTTGGGTAGTATTCCACCGTACCTATGTACTATAATTTGTTTATCCATTCAACCATTGATGGACGTTTAGGTTATTTACATCTTTTTTGCTATTGCGACTAATGCTGCAATGAACATGGGTGTGCATATGTCTGTTTGTGTCACAGCTCTTATTTCTCTAGGACATATACCCAGGAGTGGGATTGCTGGATTGTATCGTATTTCTATTTCTAGCTTTTTAAGGAAGCACCATACCATTTTCTATAGTAGCTGTTAACCGTTGATGGACATTTGGGTTAATTCCATCTTTTCGCTATTATGACTAACGCTGCAATGTACATAGGTGTTGTCTTAGGCTGGGTTCTCTAGAGAAGCAAAACCAGTAAAGCGTATAAACATATACAGAGAAATTTATATCAAGGAAACAGCTCATGCAATTGTAGAGGCTAGAATGTCCCAAGTCCATGGATCAGGGTAGAGACCTCTCCCAATTCATGGAGCCGCAAAAGCTGGCAAGCCCAAGATTGGCAGGTCAGAGAGCAGGGCTCTGCTCACAGGCTATGAAGATCGACGAATCCCAAGTTCGGCAGACAAGCTGACAGCTCAATTCCCAAAAACCGGAGGTGAGACGACAGCAGGCAGCCGCAGGATCCGGAGTGAGCAAACAGCCAGAACGTCTGCTTATATTCAGATGCAGGCCACACTCCCAAAGAAACTCCCTTTCATCTGACTGCCTACTCGCAGTATATTCAATCATGGGAGTCATCACATATAAACACTGAGAATCACAGCCCAGCCAAGACGACACACAATCTTAACCATCACAGGTGTGCATCTGTCTATTTGTGTCACTGCTCTTATTTCTCTAGGATAAATACCCAGGAGTAGGATTGCGGGATTGTATGGTATTTCTATTTCTAGCTTTTTAAGGAAGCGCTATACTATTTTCTATAGCAGCAGTACCATTTTACAGTTCCACCAGCAGTGTATAAAAGTTCCAATCTCCCCACAACCTCACCAGCATCTGTTGTTTTCTGGTTTTTTTCACCAGTATAATTACTGCCAGGGTGAGATAGTATCTCATTGTAGTTTTGATTTGCATCTCTCTAACAGCTAATGATTGTGAGCATTTCTTCATGTGTTTGCACCATGACAGTTTTTTATAAGAGGTTTTTAAACGGTGCCTAAATACAGCGTGTTTGATAATATAAGCACACATAATTATACCTGTCCAAACCTGATATTCTTTTTAAGTTCTCATGCAAACAGACTTATACAAGGACATCACTGTATTTTAGAACTGCTCAAATACTTCTCAGATAATACTTTATAGATTATAAATTGCTGTTCATAATAGGACTCAGTGTTGACCTTTAATAAGTAGCCCAAAGAAAAGAATATATATAGATAAAAGCTTATGCCTTTTGCTTTTGAAAAGAGCCCCAACAGATCAGCATCAGCTATGAAATTGTGTCCAAAAGCTCATCCAATTCTTCATCCAATAAGGCTGGGCACCAAGGCACACTTCTTTCCCGATCCCTGAATTTCCAGGAGGAGACTACGTTTTGTTCACGAATCTTACGCTGTACTTCCCACAACTCTAAGCCAATCTTGAGATTTTAGAAAATTTAAAAAAAGAAAACTCTCCTCAAGATTGAAAACTCCTATTTAGAAGAAATACAATTATGCACTCATAAAATCTGATTATTGTTTAAAATTCAAATGTACCTCAATACTTCATTATTCTACTCTATCCTGTAACAGAAAAAAAAGCTGCGTTAATTGTGAATAATTTTTTCTCCTACTTAAGATCTACCTAATACTGAGACAAACACTAATTTGCTACTTTTAACCAATAATATAAAGCAACAATTTCTTTGTAAATGTTTAAAGAAATATTACTGTTAATAGTTTTAAAATGTTAAAATTCTCTTACAATAGGCTCCGGATTGTTTTGCAGTACTGAAACTTTGCTGATACAAATATTACTGAACACGACTAGGTCATTTTTGTTACACATAGATTAATAACGAATACATTAATAATGACTTTAAAATAAAGAAAACCAAAACAAATGTCCACTGAATGATCACCAGTGAGACACTGCAGGAGATTAGAAAGATACATTTTCTTTCAAGAAGCTACAATCTAATTAGGGAAACAGGACAAATTCATGAATCACAAACACACTTTAATTCCCCCAGAATGATCTTTCTAAAACGCAAAACAGATGTCTGTAATTATTGGCTTGAAACTCTTCAATGACTGCTCATTGCCTAGAGAATAAGTGCAAGACCCTTAGAAGGCCAGGCAAGACCCTCCAAGACTGGGTCCCACGTCTCATCTCCACCACTCCACAACCCAAACTTTGCACTCTTACCAATATCCTACTCCCCGAAATGCCTGCAAACACAGCACATGCACTGCTTCAAACCTCCAGGCCTTTGCTCAAGCAGTTCCTTCTTTCTGCCTCTCCCCTCTTCTCTCCCAACCACTCTTCAAGACACAAGGCAACGGACACCTTCTCCGTGACCTGTTACCTACTCGCCAACCCCTAAGCGGTTAGATCCTTTCTTCTAATTCATAACACACAGCACCCTGTGTCTACCTTTATTACAGCACCTACCATTTTATATTTAAATTCTGTTTACCTCCTTATCTTCCCCACTAGAGTATAAACTTCCCAAGCTCAAAGACTGCTTTATTCATCTTTCTATCCCCAGCTTCTGGCCCAAGGACTCATATATAGTAGACACTCAATGTTTGTTGAAATAAGTGTTGATTTAAATTATCTGAGGTAGAGAACAGCATGCTGACAACCCAAAGCCAGTGAAGCATAAAAACTGTATTCCAAGTGTCACTGGCCATGTTAGTTCCATTTCTCCTGGCATCTCTATTCAAGGAGATATTCCAGCTGCAAAACAAAAATAAAACCAAGCCTGTTGCCATCGAGTGGATTCCGACTCATAGCGACCCCGAAGGACAGAGCAGAACTGCCCCATACGGTTTCCAAGGAGCAGCTGGCCTTTTGATCAGATTTCCTTGTGCTTCATCAGTCTCATAACAGCATTTTAAATTCGTAAAAGGAGTACAAAAAAAAAAATTTTGTTTTTGAACTTCTTAAAAAATACTTATAAAAACGATACTTAATAACTACTACTGGAATTCTCATTGTGGCACTGGGAATGCAATGAATAGATTCCACGTCCATCTAAATTTCATCTTTACCAGACTCATGGAATGGAAGGGCTGAAAAGGACTCTTAAAAGGTCATCCAGAATAACCAACCATGGGATGGCTGAATCTCATGTATAACATCTCCAGTGACTGTCAGATCCACTCTTAAAACACTGCTAGTGCCTGAGGAACTCATCACCTTCCCAGGAAGGCCAACCCATCTCGGGCGAGTTCCGTTATGAAGCACTTCCTTCAGAGAAATGTTTCCCTGTAGCTTGTACCCACTGTTCCCAGCTCTCTCCCACTGACCCTTACAAAACAAGACTAATCTCTCCAACATAAGACAGAGCTTCAAATGACTGCCGGGTATTACCACCCTCGAAGTCTTGCCACGCTAAACAAGCCTTGTAACGGTTGGGTACTCATTCACATGATAGCATTTTTGGTTTCTTTTCCGTGAACGGGATCCAATTTGTCTTCAAGAACTGAATGCAGAACTCCAACTGTGAACTGATCAGCACCCAGAGGTGCCCCTCTCTCACAAGGAATATTATGCTACTTCTATATTCTTAGGAGCCCTGGTGGCACAGTGGTTAAAGCTCTCCACTGCTAACCAAAAGGTCAGCGGTTGGAACCCACCAGCTCCTCTGAGGGAGAAAGATGTGGCAGTCTGTTTCGTAAAGATTTACAGCCTTGGAAACCCTATGGGGCAGTTCTACTCTGTCCTGTAAGGTCGCTAGGAGTCGGAAGCGACTCACCGGTAACAGGTTTGGTTTTGGTTTCAGAGGGTCGCTATCAGCCAGAATTGATCGACAGCAGTGGGTTTTGGGTCTATATTCTTTGTTGGAAGGCACTCCCCATTTCTGGGATAGCCAAGTGTCAGAAATCTCCATAAAAGGAATACAAGCAACCGGGATCCATCACCAGCTCTGGGCCTGCCAGAGGTCATCATAGCCCTCCTTCTCATTCAGCTGCTGGTCTGGGGCAAATCATTTCCCATTTCCTAAGCTGACTATACAGGGCGAAATACTAGGGATCAGAATGGCCTCGGTGCATACTGATGTTTCTCCTCTCAAATCACCGGGGAAGCAGCTGAAGACGCCCACCCCAAACAGTCCACTGGCCCAGGACAGGCGTGCGGGAAAGGGTGAGAGACCGTGCACAGGGTTGGTGTTTTCCGGAGATGCATTTGGGTCTGCAAGCAGAAGGACCTCGGTCCCCACTTCAGTCCTGTGACGCAAAGCCCCGCAGAGTGAAAGCCACCCTCCTGCATTCCGGGCTCTGAATGCGGCCGACAGGGTTGGATGGGGCGTGAGGATCAGATGGTTTGCGCTGACCACCTCCCCGCCCACTGCGGTTGAGAGGAGGCGAGAAAGCACTGCCGGTCCCAGTTGTCGTTTTTACCTTCACATTTCTGCTCCACAAAGTCCAGGATGGGGATGGACCAGTCCGGGCCTCGGAGGAAGCCCGCGATGCTCTCCACCACCCACTCCACCTCCTCCTCCTCTTCCGCAGCCATCCCACTCGGCGTGGCAAGAGGCGCCCTGACCTCCGAGCCAGCTGAGGCCCTTCGGTCGCGGGAGCCAAAGGCCAATAGGCGGCTTTCCAGGACTGGGGGAGCGCTGCCCCCGCCGCCGCCCCGACGCCTGGATGGAAGCTGCAAACCAGTAACGTAAAAATGGTCGCTACGGCAACGCGCGTAGCAGCCCCAGGGGCCGCCCGGAAGCGAACGCAGCTTCCCGGGAGTCTGCGCGCCTCAGAGAGGGGCGTTTGAAGAACGTTTCCAATTGGCTGGAAAAGACAGTAGCGGAGCAAAAGCTAGCCCTCCGCCCATTGGCTCGGAGTTGTTAGGCAGACGTATAGCCATTGGCTGGAGTTTGAGCACCTCCGAGAGGGGCAGTTGAAGAACGTTTCCGATTGGCTGGAAAAAGAACAGTTATCAAAAGATAGCCCTCCGCCCATTGGCCGGGAGTTAGCGCAAATATGTAGCCGTTGGCTGGAGATCCTGCTAGGCGTCTCAGCATTCCAGAAAGAGGCGTGGGAGCTGAGTCTTTCGCTACGTCGGCTGAAAACTGGGCATTGAACCAAAAGGACTACGAAGGTGCAGGTTTACCGTGTGTCCCCAGCACCTCAGTCCCTCCCATTTTGAGCCCTGCTGGCCCAGACCCCCCAAAACCAAACCCCTTGACTTCGAGTGGATTTCGACTCATAGCGACCGTACAGGACAGACTGTAACTGCCCCATATGGTTTCCAAGGCTGTAAATCTTTAGGGAAGCAGGTTGGCCACATCTTTCTCCTGCAGAGCGGCTGGTGGGTTCCAACCGTTGACTTTTCAGTTGGCAGCAGAGTGCTTTAACCACTGCGCCACCAGGGCTACGCTGGCCCAGACGGCGTTTGTAATTAAAGGGTCGTTTGAAAATATCAAAACTGAGCCAGGTAGCTATAAGATTTGCTGATTGGCTCTCCAGGCTGATGTTCAACATCTAATGCATAGAGATAGTTGGAATTAGGAGTTTTTCAAGGGAAACATGAAAATTGATATGCATTTAAATAAATGTTGATGAACCAAATCTTATATAGCTTCCACTCAACCCTTAGATTGGGGTCCATTGTAATAATATGTTTTAAATGATCTCCAAAGGTCAAAGAGACAGCCCTGTGTATATATATATATATATACGTAAATGAGATACACACACAGTTTATCGTCTTTTTGTGTAAAAATGGAAAGCGCTACTTTATCCTTTCTTTACAGCTGGTTAGTGTGTATGGTGTGCGTGACTGTGTACATACAGTATTTTACTTGGATACATATATGTGATTGTTTAATACGTATTTTAGTGTGCAGTTTTGTTTATCTTTACTCCCTCCATCGGGAGGGGGGTACCATAAATAATTCAGCCATTTTTTGCTTCTACAAACTGCTGAAATAAACACCTTTCTGTTCTGAAGAACTGCTGGTTTTGTTTACTATTAGATTCTAGTGAAATGGCTAAATGAAAGAATACATATCTTAATTTATTTTACTAACCCTCATTTGCTAGATTAAATTATTTCAGTTTTTAAAGCAAGAAACAACTCTGTAATAAACACACTTGTACATATGTTTTGAACCCTATTCCTGTTTCCTTTAAATAAATTCCCAAAGGAAGAATCACTGGGCCTACTATTTGTAAGCTTTAAAAAATTAGTTGACAATTTACTAAATTAAAAATGATACATAATTTTAATTTTAAGGACCCCTGTTGGTGTAGTGGTTAAGTGCTTGACTGACAACCGAAAGCTCGGCGCTTTGAACCCACCAGAGGCTCTGCTGGATGAAAAACCTGGTGATCTGCTCAGGTAAAGATTATAGCCTAGAAAACCCTATGGGGCACTTCTACTCTGCCCTATAGGGTCGCTATGCATTAGAATCAGCTTAACAGCATACAACAAAACCAAAGTTATTTTAATTTTTATTTCTGTATTAATGAAATTGAACATGGTTTCATGTTTGTTAGCCTTTGTAGTTCTTCCTGCATTATCTTTTCATATCCTCGGATCTTTTTTGTTTTTGCTTTTTTGTTGTCATTTTATTTCTTGCTTTTCTTTCCCCTTCAGATGAAAACATAAACTATACATTACTGAAAAAAACTCAAGATTAAGCAATAACTTGCTTGGGAAAAGTATCCATTTACTTCAAATCTGTGATCATTCTTTATTAGGATGTTATTTTTTTTTCCTATTGATTTGTAGGAGCTTTTTATACATTATAGGGATTTTAACCCTTTGTCCCATATTGCATGACAAGTTTAGTATTTGCTTTTTAATTCCATTCATTGTGTCTTTTGCCATATAGGTATTTTATATTTGCCATTTGGTTTGAGATGGGAAGTAATAAGTTAATTTTCCCCAGAGGATAGCCTTGGTCCAAATACGACTAGCTGGAAATGGGTGGGAAGGGTTTTTTTGAATTACTGAGAAGAGGTAGAAGGAAAGAAGGACATCATCGTTAGGCTGAAATGTTGTGACAGCAGAGGTGGATTACTGTGGCTTTTAGTTCTGTCTTCTAAACAGGCTTGAAATAGAAATCTAGTTTTGTTTTTCTCCCAGTTTCCTTCTTTGAAGAAGCAGCTGCTTGCATGGTTTCTCATGAGACTGGAGGCTACAGAGTGCTACCCGACTGCACTGGGCATTACTCAGCATTAGAGTCTTTCTCTTCAGTCTCTTGCAAGTACTTCCCAATTCCACTTGAAGCAAATGGTGACTAGGAGCACAAGCTCTCCTTTTTGCTCCTTCCCACCATTCTTCCCGAATGTGAGCGACGCAGATTTCTTTAGGCCTAACAAGTTCTCTCACTTATTTCAATACATTTGATTATTCCAGTCTTCTCAAAACTTAAGGCTTTTCTTTTCCTTCACTGCTTGGGATTCTTATAACCGGGATGCTGACACACTTTTGGGAAAATAAATACTTTTATCATGAAATGAACACAAACTCAGGAGAACAGGGCTCACACTACTAAGGCAAGCCGTGTGTGTGTACGGGGGTAACAATGAGAAGATGAGGTGGGTGTGTTTCATCACAGGTCACTTCGTGCAGTCAGTAATGTTTTTCATGCTTCTCAGTGGTGCAGAGCAGCATCATCTCTTTAAAAATCATGACTTCTCATTTTGACAATTTTATTACCCTTTTCATCTACTGCATATGAACAAATTCTCATATTAATGACATTTGTTATAACAGAAGAGACTGAAATAGATACACATAAATAAATGTGTGCGTGTGTGTGTGTGTGTGTGTGACCAGACCCGTTGCTGTCAAGTAGATTCCGACTCATAGCGACCCAATAGGACGGAGAAGAACTGCCCCATAGGGTTTCCAAGGAGCGGCTACTGGATTTACACCGCCAACCTTTTGGTTAGCAGCCGAGCTCTTAACCACTGCGCCACCAGGGCTCACCACTTGGCACAATGCTTGGTACCTGCTATACGGTTACTTGCCATCGAGTCGATTTCGACTCAGTGACCCAATGTGACAGAATAGAACTGCCCCCATAGGGTTTTCTAGGCTCTAATCTTTACCGAAGCAAATGGCCAGATTTTTCACCCACGGAGCTGCTGTGGGTTCGAACTGCTAACCTTTCGCTTAGCAGCCGAGCGTTTAACCGTTGCGCCACCAGGGCTCCTTCTGGTACTTGGTAAAGGCTCAATAAATATTAGCTATTATTATTATGGAGCCCTGGTGGCGCAGTGGTTAAGCGTTTGATTGGTTGGCAGTTCGAATCCACCAGCCGCTCCTTGAAACCCATGGGGCAGTTCTATTCTGTCCTTTAGGGTCGCTATACCAAACGAAAAAACTCATTGCCATCGAGTCGATTCCGACTCATAGTTGGAATCGACTCGACGGCAGTGGGTTTGGTTTCTTTTTTTTTTTAATTATACGTAGTTTGAGGTTTTTTGTTTTGTTTTTAACAACTTACAGCGTGGATATAAGAAGCCATTCTCTTTACTTTGCCTCTCTCTTCACCAGGAAGTGTTTTGTGTTTTTTCTCGAGGCTCTATTGAAATCTCGCGATACTCCCCAACCCATAGGTCATTAACTGCCTGGGAGTGAGCCTCTGTCTGCCTTATTAAAGGGTTATGTAAAGTTCAGTCTTAGGCAGATGACTGCGCTCCTCCAGGCTTTTCGGGGCATCACGTGAATAACAACGCATGGTTGTGTAGTGCTTTTCATTTGACAAAGGGATTTCCACCTATCATTTGATTCAGCGACCTTGTGACCTAAATAAGGATAGTATCAAAATTCACCCCATGTTACAGATGGGAAACTGAGGCTCAGTGCCGCCATGTCTCTTGCCGAAGGTCAGGGCAAAGTTAGGGTTCCCAGTGAGTTAATCTTTTGATCAGCCCCACTTTCCTGTAACTGATACTTAAACAGCCGGGAAACTTCCGGTTCTCGCTTTATAACGCATCATGGAAATTTTTCCATGTTAATGAAAACGTTTCTACACATGATCCTTTTTAATGTTACCTAGTTTTCCATCGTGTGAACATAAAATCCCGTTCCCGTTGAGTCGATTCTGACTCATAGCGACCCTATAGGACAGAGTAGAACTGTCCTAGAGGGTTTTCAAGGCTATCCTCTCTATGGAAGTGGACTGCCCCATCTTTTTCCCACAAAGCAGCTGGTGAGTTGGAACCGCAGACCTTTCAGTTAGCAGCCGAGAGCTTAACCACTATGTCACTAGAGCTAACATAATTTATTTCACCAATCCCATATGGATCTAAGCTGTTTCTTACACTATTTAAAAAATAATTCCATAAAGCGCATCCTTGCACCTCAGTCTTTACACCGAATCTTTATTATTTCGTGAAGATAAATTCCTAAAAGTAGAATTGCTGACTCACCTAGTATACAGTTTTAAAAGATATTTGGACCTCTGGGCCCTCCCCCCACCCCAGGTTGGGGTATGCATCCTGAAATAATCATAGTTAAATGCTAAGTGGCTCATATATTACATTACTGTTTTATATCTATGAATATGCATATCTATTCACAGGCACAAATATATCTCAGACTTTGCAGATTGCTAATTTAATCAGGGGAGGGCTGGAGAAATGATTGTGAATTCTCGGAGAGACTGCTTAATTTAACAGACACATCTACCCTAGCACAAAGCTTGGTACCTAACAGATCCTCAGTGGATAATTGATGAACACAAGAGTCAC